GGCGAAGCTTAACTGTTCAAAATTCAGATGCGATGCTGGTATTCGTCTTAAGACTACTAACTGTAAAACTGAGTTGACAAAATTGACGTTTAGAAGTTCAGAATCAGGGGAGACCTTGACATCGAGGAGAAAAGTAAAGTATATTTAGTTATGTTTCTGTTTTGAATAATTACAATTTTAATTTCTATGTTTAGTGGCGTATTGTAATTATTACACCAAAAGGCCAATTTGCCCTGAAATACTATTATTTTCGTTCTGGCATTTTGCGTTGGTTCGCTATAAATGTCCGATTCATTTTTCAAATTGTTGCCACCAAAATCGTCCTGTATTATATTTAAAGAAATTAAATCATGAAGAATATGCATAAATGTATGTATGTTTCTCGCATTGTGATAAAACAACGATACATACAGCCATCAAATTTTGAATAACGTAATCCATAGAATGTGGGCATGTGGAAGCCCGAAGTTAGAATTTGGAATTTGTTTTATTATCGATTTCATATTTTGTAACACTATAACAAGTTCTTAATTAACAAACTCAACGATTTAAAAGCGAGCAATGGCAACATTCTACGGGAGAGGAGGAACCTTTTTATCACTAGCGGCGCGGAACTGTGTAGCAGAAATTCTAAATATATGCTCATTTTAAAATTATATTGTGATATTGGTGTTGAACCCAATAAAATTCATCTTATTATTCAGCAAAAAAGGCTGTTTTATAATGAAAATACCATTGACTCGAAACGTCTTAATACATCGAGTTTGGCTGATTTTGATTCGCAGCCAAAAAGGATTGCCGACGCCTAATGTAACTCTCATGTAGAAGAAATTATGTACTGTAATAAAATTTAGAAATCACTTGGATTGTTATTAGATATTGTAAAGTGAATTTTCCCTATTGTACATATTCTTTAATCCGTACAATTTTCAGCATTCATACTAATTAAACTCGTAACTTCAAGTGTGTAGCAATTGTATATAATCCTTCAACAAAATGGCACTTTTTTATTAGGCTAATAATTTTATTGTGGACTGAATTTCCATAATTATCTACTGAAATTCTAAGACATTTTCGTCCTGGTCACTTTTAAAGAAATTAAATAATGAAGAAGCTGCATGCATGAATGTATGTATGTTCTTCGCATTGTGAAGCAAAGATGATAGAGCCATCAAATTTTGAATAACGCAGTCTGTCCGAACACGTTCAACTGGAACCCCGAATTTTGAATTTCGGATTTGTTTTATTATCTATTTCATATTTTGTGAAACTTTAACTATTTTTTATTAACAAACTCAACGATCTCAAAACGAGCAATAGCAACACGGTGTAGGAAAAAAAACACTTTTATTTCCCTCTAGTGAGACCGTGTATCGGAAATTCTAAAAGTATGCTCTTATAAAATTATTTTGTGATATTGCTGTTGAATTGAATTTTATGGCTTAAGTGCGAAGAACATGATATTTAATAAATAAAGGTAACACACAAAACGTTTAAAAAGAGGCCCTTTAAAAAATAAACCCCTTTTAAAATCTGAAAAACCTTTCAATTTTTTTAATTATTTGCTTACTAAGTACTGAAATTTTAATCACAAAAAATTGTTTTGTTCCCAAATATTCTTTTTTTTTTTTTTTTTTTTTTTTTTTTTTCATTTATGTGTCTTTTGAACAACATCGAAAAAAATCAAACTCCATCAAATTGGTCTACGTTACATTTTGACATTTATTGTTATAAACAAAAGGATTATAATTTTCAAAATATCTGAAGCCTTATACCAAACTGCCATCGATTAGAACTAATAGAAAAAAAAATTGACGGCAGGCTCTCTCTTTTAGTTTAAACAGCCGTTGATGTTTAATGCGTGGGTTTACGAACGAAAGTGTGAGGGTGTTATAAAACAAATAAAACAAACAAAAGATTTTACACACGCATATATTTTATTTTATATTTTTTTTTATTTATTGCACTTCTTCTTTCACAATGACCCTATGTAAAATTGGTCGATGATATGAGAAATAAGATACATAGTTTAAGATATCTGCAGTTAAATTCCTAGTAAATGTTAAATTAATAAATGAATTGCCTGATGTACTTGGATAGTTACTTGACACCTTATTGAGACTGCAATGATGTTTCATAAAATCAAATGCCTTTTCATTTCGTTTGATGTCTACATTGAAATCATCCATCATAATAACAGGAACTTCTAAATCTACAGTAAACTCTTCATAGATCAGTAAGGTAGTCTTAAAATATTTCATCAATGCACTAAACCAGAACATCTTCAAACCTTCCGAATTAACAGTTGGAGGAATATATAGGGATGCTAGAATAAATCTTGATTGTTCATTAACAATTACGTCAACCATAAAAATATCGCCTATTTCTGAATCCTGTATTCTCTTACGTTGCTTAACAGTAAGTTCTATTAGTACACAATCTATTACACTCATTAGATTTCTATAAATCACACCACACTCTTGGAGAAATAAAATAAAATACAGCAAATACCACCTGAACACACTGACTGTTTACCGCACGACACGCGGTCGCGCATGTGCACGGAGTTTTGACATCACCAAAATTTAGATATTTCTGACGCGTTACTGTGTTTGCTAAAAATTCGAAAATATAAGCATTCGCGCACACCTTAAATAGCGTTTTAATGTTTGCTTTTTCATCAGATCATTATGGAGGACCAATTATAGAGACCATTAAATTACTGCGTTAAAAGCAATATAAAGGGACACTTAACTAAACCAATTGCTTATTTTTAATGAAATTATTTGCTTCCTGGGCAAATTTCATCCTTATAATTTCGTACTAGATTCCTTTCCTTAAAAATACTATTAGTGGTTGATTGACTAAAGTCTGCGAGTTGTGTGTATAACTATTTCTATATATAAATATATGTATGTTTATAATTTTTATCTATGTGTGTATAACTGTTTCTAACTATATTAGTTTTCCTCGTAAGAGACAAATCCTATGAAAAAATTACTTAGTCATACCTCGGCTTGCTATTCCTTGGGGAAAGGCTACCGTCTAATGACTGAGCTAAGACCACTGAATACTGATAAATCATTTCGGACTCAAATCTTAACATTAATTTGCCCCGACAGCGGTGAGTGATTAAGATCACTAAATACTGGCAGTTCGACCCGGGATGGATTCCAGGCAGGCGGGTCGGCTGCATGGTTTTTTTTCCCTAGTTTTCTTAATGTGTAACTTAAATATGAGCCAGTTTGCCTTAAAACTTCGTGCCCGAGGCCCTCCCTCCTCCCTAAGCAGATAACCTTTTTGTGTTCTACCATATTTCAATAACCATAACCATAATATCTCAGGGACAGGCCAAGATCCGCGTAGGCATTTTCATAGTTTTACCCGTAGATAACGTGAATCGGGGCCAGTTTCCTTTAAGAATTCTCCATGAAAGCATCCCTGACAAAGCATGCAACTCTCGCGTGCTCCGTCGTCTTTTGTATGCGTACAACTCTAATGTGCTTTAGCCGTCTTACCTTAAATATTATCTGGGAATCAACACAGTAGGAAAGTTCTGGCTGTGTATACTTTAATGCTTCTTTGCATCTGGTACACAAATGTGATGGAATTCCCTTAAAAAGCCCTCCACAAAAGTTCTGCATCTGAACAGCTAGCTATCGGATACTTCGCTATCATTATTAATAAATAATTACTTGATTTTGATAAATCTTGCTTGATTGCCCTGAGAACTACTCACAATTCGCTTAACAGTTGTTTATTTTGAAATGAAATTGCTTTCTCTGATAAACTGTTTTTAAAAGATACGGTAACAGAGTTGAGGCCCCTTCTAATAATATATCTTAATATTTAGAATTATTTTTATTTTTGAAGATTCTTCAGTAAATGATTACTACCCTTTTTATTAAATAGTTATCTAATAGCAAAATGCAGTGTCGTACTATATCTTTCTCATACTCAGTGCCAATATTTCCTATTCATAGCAGCATAAGTAGAAAAGCAATTTTATGAGAAATTAAAATGGTGTTTTTACGAAACAGTCATTCTATAAACCATTATAAATCGTAACGGAGTTTAAATTTTACTGATGCAATTGTTAATTCTGAGATGAATTTATATAAAAAGAGAAAATTGTGTTCAAAAATCCATTTTTATGGCTCTAAGGGTTAAAAGCTTTAGTAGAGAAAATTTTTAATGTCCGCAGCAATTTTATTCTTAATTTTTTTTCTATCTACAATCGAGGTGTCGTAATGCTATTTTTAGTCCAAAGGGGCTTTGTCCCTGAAGGACTATTGCTTTCGTTTTGCGATTTTGCGTCGAAACCCTAAAAAACGGTGTATCACTTTTCAAATCGGTGCCACCAAATACTATAGCCCTGTATTCTTGCACTGTGATAAAACCACGGTACCTAGAGCCATCCAATTTTGAATGACGTAATCCTCTTGCGAATGTGGGCATCTGAAAGCCCAAATTTCAAATTTGGAATCTGTTTTGTTATCGACTTCATATTTTGTAAAACTTTAACAAATTTTTGATTAATAAACTCAACGATTTAAAGCGAGCAATGGCAACACTCTACGGGGGGGGGAAACCTTTTTATCTCCAGCGCGCGAAACTGTGTATCGGAAATTCTAAAGATATGCTCATTTTAAAATTATTTTGCGACATTGCTGTTGAACTGAATTTTATGGTTTAAGTGCAAAGAACATGATATTTAATAAATAAAGGTAAACAAAAAAACGTTAAAAAATGCCCCTTTGAACGTAATTTAAAATCTGAAACTTTACAGTTTTTTTTTTTAAATTTATTTATTTTATTTATTTATTTAAATTTTATTTATTTATATTTATTATTTATTATTTTTTCCAATAAGCAATTTTGGACAAAATACTGGTACTAAAAAAGCTTTTTTTTCACCTGGCTTAACATTTTAACTGCCCTTGCAGTTATTTTAAGAGTTTCGGTTTTTATTAACTAAAGATATTTTTTTCCATCCCTAGCAACGTCCATCAGTGCAACATCAAACTGAAGCCTCCGAAGAAAATCCCCACGCCTTACGGTGGAAAACTGGTGTGGACTATGCCAGGCAAGAACAAGCTCATTGCCCATCTCAAGGACAAAATTAAAATTCGACACAGGAAGCGCTGGAGCCAGGTAACCTTCTACGGAATCTTAATTAAGGACGTTCTGCATAACGGTGTGTAGGCTTACAGCTGCTCCTCTCTCGGAGCAGATCCAGAGAGGAAATACTTAACAGTTTTATTCGTGATTGCTTTGAAGGACTCAATTCTGATCACTTAACTGCTAATAAGGAAAATTTTGAAATCGCTCCAAATCATTCTGATATTGATATGTACCGTAGGTAACCCTGACTTCGACCACTCTTTCTGTTTGTGTTCGCTCTACTAGTCAAGGATAGTCTAATAACCATCGTTTTTTGTTTCACTATAATAGATGTTTGTATACGGAAGTTGTAGATGATAGCACCATTTCCGTAATTTGTTATGGTTAGAGTTTTGTAGCAAATTAATGGCATCAGATGTGCTCTTTAGTGACTTACAGTGCCATCTCCCGACGCTTACTGGCGAAAGTTATCGTTCTGCCCAAACGGACATAACATTTTTCTGCTTCACTGCCATGTTCTTATTACATTCAAGAAGAGTGCTCAGAAACATTTGAGATATACACAGAAACCTAAAAGAATTCTTTCTCAGGAAGGTTCCGTTAAACATTATACGATTAAGGGAGAGTCTTTCCTTCGTTTAAATATTTTTAAGGCAAAAGTTATTTCCTAAATTTTATATTTATAAAAAGTAGCCGTTATTCGTACATAAACAGTTAAGTTGGTTATGAAAATCAGATTAAAAGATTGTTCAGACGAGAGTTCAAAGAGCTTAAATAAACTTAGGCAACGTGATAAAACGATAAAAAGTGAAATGGGAAAAATACGTTTATGATGTATTACTAGCCTTTTCTTCAAAAATGCATATTCTTCTGTTACATTTGTGTTTGAAATGAAGTAGGAAATCTTGAGATAATGATCATAAATGCTAAGGAACTCACGCAATTCTATCCGTTTACGAACGGCAATGAAACAAATTTATGCCAATCTACATCGAAAATGCTTGAGCTTGAGCCAACTTCAAACGGGCAAATCTTCGAGATAATATCGCCAATTTAGAAATAGGTAATGGAATTAATAATTTTTTTCATTAATAGAATTTGTCTGAGATCATTTTAACAAACGCAAAGGGCATGTTAAACGGTACGGCTTCAGGACATTTTTCATTAATTTACAAAACTACTGCTAACTCAACTGCTTCACGACAATTCAGTTTTAACTAATCCGTATTATTATTATTATTATTATATAGCTGTATTTAATAAAAACCTGTACGCTATATGATTACAGTTCGGGGGGGGGGAACTGTGATATAAAGGCTCTAAGTCAGGCCCTTGCAAACTGTAGGCTGCAGCATATTTGCTTGCGCCACGGGAAAGAATAGTCATATTATTTTTTAAACAGCTTTCTTTTTGTGCCTTTTGATGTCTCTCAAGTAAAAAAAAAATCGAATTTTTAACACATTCATCAATTTTTAAGCTATTTTAGAATTATATTTTTGTTCATATCAAAACAGAATTTCGTTAATCCAAGGTCATCTTTCATTGGCAAAGTGCTCTGCATTAAAAAAGTCTTTGCATACATGTTAGCATGTCATCTAATAGACTCTTAGGGCGTTCATGAATAAAATAATAGCAGAGGAAATTTTTAGCCTAAAATTGCAGATATTCTCTGAGGGGGAAAAAGTATGTCCTAATCAAAAAGGAAAATCTTGTTGTTACCACTGTAACATAGTGTACCTAAAACAGTAGGTAGAATTTTGAAATGTATGTGTACCGAAGCAAGCCAGTGAGTATTCAATTGTGTAATAGTAATTTTACAGGTACACGATAGTGATAAGAATAGGATGGAAGTAAGACAATAACCATAGTTATAAAATATATCTGCTGTTGTATCTAACATAGGGAGACAGCAAATTTTTTAAACCTCAAAAGTACTGTTTAAGTCTTTAAAAATTATTTACGATGTTCGGCATTGATTCTAGCAGAACATTTCAAAGCATACAAAAAATAAATACTATAAATTAAAACTATATTAAATGGATTATGTAGTAGCAGCAAATGTTTAGGAGTTTTTTGTAACACAAGTAAAGAAAAGGAATGTATGAAAAAATGCGTGTTTACGAAATTTTACGTATAAAAAATTCATTTATTTAAAAATATAGAAGACAAACTTTCTTTTTAATTTTTAAGAATTAAAAAAAATCTACAAATTTATAAATTAATGCTGGATGATTTTCTAACTAATTTGATGCATCGCTGTTTCTTCATATAGGAAATATACAGTATAGTGGCACATACTATATATTTTATATATGAAGAGGAAGTCACATACTTAATATAGTATGTGAATCGTACTATTGGAACGTTATTTACATTAGCTCTCGGAAACTTTAGAAATCTTAAAATTTTTAATATTTCTCTTTTCGCCTGCTCTATATTTAAAAAAAAAAGGTTTAAAGAGGCAGTTCAAGCTGAAAAGCCATAAGTAATTTATCGACCTCACTGAACACTTGTACACTGCGTTCAGTAGTGAACATAACAAATTTTGTGTTCACTACTGAAATTTTATATTTTAAGCTATATTCTGCAATGAAAGTAATATGCTTTAAAAATGAAGCATGAATTTAAAATTCATACTGTTCCGAAAAAAATGCAAATTGTCTATTTTCTTTTTTCTTTTTTTTTTCCTGTTAAAGGAAATCTATTCATATAAAGTGCTAATTAAAGTGTTATTAAGAGAAATTTATTCCAAACTGTTTCAGCGTATCTACTGTATTTAGGGTTATATACGAAAAACCGTTAAATTTTATTAAAGGAGCCCTATCTGCACTTTATTTTAAACATATACTTTATTCCTAAAATGCACATTTAAAACTGTCATGCATAAAAATATGTGCAGACAAACACATTTCTTGAAAACATAAATACTGCACTTGAACTTATTTCAATAACGTGAACCGAATCACAAGAGGTGAAATATTTCTTATTCATTGATGAATTAGGGCCTGCTAACGGCCGAGCGGTAAAGTCACTGAACACTCGCAGTTCGTTCCAAGCTTCTGAATCTTGCAAACGACTAGCTACACGGGTGATGCCATGGTTTTCCTCATGTGTAACGTGTATATGAGTCAGTTTTTCCCATAAAGTCTTCCACAAAGGCATCTTTCCTCTTAGGCAGATAGTCCTAGAGTTCTTTGCCGTAATCAAATAAAACAGCCAATCCATTTATGGATTAGACCAAGATCTAATCCGAGTATAATATATATGTGGGTTATTTAGTCTCGAAATCACAATTCATATTCAAACAAAACACATTTATAATGAAACATTAATACATCTATAAGATCGTTCATCTGGTAATACAGCATCTATAACACCGTTATTACAAGATCAGAGATAAGAAGATTATTAATACAAGATCTATATCATCTTACATCTCCTCTAATCAAACAAAGTGGCGAGAATTCTACCAATTTCACTCGTGCAGTCAACAGCTAAAATTTAGACAGCGCGCGAGAAAAAAATATTAAGGATTTAAAATTATGGATTTAAAATCCCACATTCGGTCCTGCTATGCGTCGATGTCGACGACATTATTCTACTCTTGGCATCATAAATCATTGGTCATCATACATCATCGTTGTCTTCGGTAAAAGAACCATCATCAAGAATAAGCCGAAACCTGAAAAGAAATACAAAGGGAAAGAGGAAGATTGTGTATGTGCTAAGGACAATATTGAAAAGAAACATCTTAATTGTCCTTCATCTTTGCAACTATAACATCGTCAACAGTCCCTTCTACTTTTCAGAAAATTTCATCTAAATCGAAAAATATCTTCAATCTTTAACATTTTTGGTAAACTTAAAAACATCTTAAAAATAACATTAACTGAAATAAAAGTCATTATTAGGTAAAAAATCATAGTTCGGTTATCGGTTGTATCCCTCCAGGTTAAAACGTCATAATCAGTATTATTTTATACATTTTCTTTTGCTTGAGTCCATGGTTTTATGTATTCAACACAAGTACTTGTTTTAGTGGGTCCTTAATGATCTCCTTCTTTTACATCATAGGTGTCATTGTCTTTTATTTTTACAATTTTATACGGGCCTAAATACTTTGATTTTAACTTAAGGTTTGATCCAAATTGCGCTGTTTTGATTGCTACTAAATCTTTAATTTCGTAACATTTTGAAGAACGTCTTCTAAAGGTGTATGTTTTCTTGTTTTCTTTCTGTACCTTAAATATTTTTTTCTTGACATCTTTCCGAAGTTCTTCTGGGTAAGTTTCAAAATTATTCTGAATTTCTGCTTCAATTATTTTAGTGTTTTCTTTTCCACAAGTATAATCTGTATCTGCTTGAAAATTAGAAGCATTCTGTTTGCTTACTCCAGATATAAAATTAACAGCTGATATTGCTTTAAGAAATCTTCCTTTTGGAACAGAAGGTTCTTCAAGGACAGATTTACGCCTCTTATATGACGTTGTCTTATGTTTAGTTGATTTGTAAGTTGATGTTGAAGTCGCGCTAGATGGTGTTGGAACAGCATCAGCACCACATAGGTCTCCATAATGTTCCCAATCATCAGCATTAAGAATTTCTCGCAACTGACGAAATTCTTCATGAGTGATACACATTGTTTAGCAAATAATCTCTTCTCCATAATTTTTCTCATGCGATCCTTTTCAAAAGGTAGCTTTTCTTGCATTTTCAGTTTAATATGTTGAACTTCTTTTTCTTTCTCAGATAGATGCAAAATTTCAGATGAGATCTTTCGATTCTCATCTGAAATTTTGCAGCTTCTACTTCATTCTTTGGCTTCTGATAGTTGTTTCTGTAACATTTCTACAGTTCTGTTCTGATACAGAAAGTTTTCTTTCCAAAGATCTAGCATCCAAATCCGTTTGTAAAATAGTTTTTTTTCCTGTATTAGTTGGACACTTTCTTTGTCAATAATTGGTAAACGTCTGGGTCTCGAAGGAAGTAGGTTGGTCATCTTTGAAAATAACATGCATTTCGGTAATAGT